ATAGAGCACAGGGTAGGGAATAGACACAGGATAGCTTAGGTGCTGGGGGGGTGGGGTGGGGACAGGCATCATACAGGAAGTGGGAGGGGAATGGAAGAACAAGGCAGATGGAAGAACAGTTAGGCAGGTTCACATGGGCTAAATGGGACAGAGGTAAATGACAATGTATGCACAACAGGGCTTCCAGATACAGAGATTGAGGTATGGTTTGAACGAGTTAAAGGGGAATAATGTTAAGATGCTTGACTGTCTTTTGAATCTTGGTTTCCCTTGCCTCCATTGTGAAATAGACACTTGATGGGGGGTGGGGGGTGGCAAAGGAATAGCCAGAAATATGACAATAGAAAGTTTGTAAGTCAGTCTTCAGCCTGTAACTGATTGGAATACCTTAAAGGGGGCTAGAAATTGCCCAGTGAAAGAGACCTCCTATGGAGTTTTTGCATTGCATAAGACCATAGGTGGAAACCAGAACCCCATCCAGAATTGTCTGAGGTGGGAAATTTCCACTGGAATGGACTAGTAGACCCGCCTGGAGTGGCTAGAAGTGCAGAAGATACTTCATGAAGAAAGACCAGCAGGAAAAATCAGAAATAATAATGGCAGTATGATTGACTACTAGAAGAATATTGGCCTGGGAGCCATCAAGACAAGTGGTCAGGTCCCCTCAGAGCAAACTCCCTTCTAAGACTAAGACTCAAGGGGAATACACAAGCAGGTATGTGGTCTGGCTGGTGACCACGCTGGTCATCGATAAGGGGAAGAGAGGGAAAAAATAGCAATGAAGTTGGGATCTAAGTCCAATCACATTCAATAGACTCCTGTGAACCCAGATGGAGACCTGGATGGCCAGCAGTTACAGCAAGACCCTGGACTCCTGGGCCCAGAGGCAGTGACATAGCCACAGAGGACTAGAGCAGAGAGTGAAGCATCCAGCTGATATGAAGTGAGGGGAGATGCACAAGAACACCCACACATGCAGATAGTACCCACCTGACCTGGCTTTGATGGCTGGATGATCAGAACTCAACTAGAAGAAGAAAGAAGAGGGAGGAAGGGAAAAAACAAGAGTAACCCATTACAATTCGATGAACTTTACCTATATTTATGGATGTAGTAGCTCAAAAAGGGAACAAATGTTTACAGCAAGGATCACTCCCACCCCCTCAGTACATGGGGTTGACAGGGATGGGCAACTTAGACATTGGCTACCCAAAAGGGGGGGTGGGGTGGCTATAAAGGCAAGAAGTGATTGGCTTCCAAGCTTCCAAAAGGGAGCCTAGTTCCAGACAGGGCAGGGGGTAGGTAGAACCTCCACTGAATGATAGCCAATCTGTTGAGACCAGGTTGGCAAAAGGAAATGGGGATAAGACTCTTGTGGTACAATAGTAAATAATTGCCATCAGAACTGACTTTGAGGGTCGGAAATGTAGAGGTAGATATTTTTTTACAAAAGGAAGGGAATGATTGATTTTGCATTCCAGGAGCAGAGGTCTCTGGGACCATCAAGTGAGAAAAGCAGAGAGCGTGACCCTACCCAGAGAGGCAGTGACGCCAGGGATGAAGACAGAGACAATGATGTGGAGAGAGGTAGTGGCTGGGAACACTGGACTCAAGGAGGGTGAGGGGCTGTGTGCTGATGGCTGTGGGGGGGGGGGCGGGCCTGTAGGGTGTATCCTTTGGTTATTGATGATGCATGGAATGGATTGTAATCATTGCGATGAAATGAAACATGATAGGATGAATGTAAAGCTGATGTTCTCCCATGTAAACTCACATCATTCACAATAAAAACTAAAAAAAAAAAAAAAATAGTAATAATTATTCCATTTAAGTGATGGATGCATGTTGTTGCTGTTAAGTGCCGTCGAGTCAGTTCTGATTCATAGAGACCTGTTGCAGACTGCAGGTATTGGGGTGTTGAGGACCAGTGTCATGGACGAAAATCCAGCACGTGGTCGTGCTCCGACTTGCTGGCCAGAGACCCTGTGGGCTCAAGGAAGTAACCTCCGTACGTCCCGGGTTCATTGGCTTTTACGAACTCACTGTTGGGTCAGCTCTGTATAATTCTCTTTAGTCCTATTAATTCCTGCTATGCTTTGAACTCCTGTAACTGTAGCCTCTGAGAAAATGGTTTCTTATGTGCCCCTCTTAATGTCTACACTGTGTTGGCAGTGCTTAAGGTTCTAAGAACAAATCTCTCTGAGGAACAGACTCCGGCCACTGGGCACGCTCGTCCAAACTGTTCTTTATCAAATTATTTAGTTATGTTTGATATTAACTTAATACATGAGCCCTTGATACCCATGGACAAATATTAAACTGCTCCTAAAGCCGAGACTGTAAAAAGCTCCAAAAACAAGTTTGCTAGGAAGTTCCAAAAGCCAAGTTCCCCCAAGGAATTCACCCAAAGTGGATTGACGAAGTCCGGGGTTTGTCCTAAGAATAATAGGTGTCTGCCTTCTCGGATAGACCCCAGGTGCAAAACCATTCAGCTAGGCGTCTTGCTTTCTCTTGCAAGTCTCAGCCAGGCAGCCGACACAGCAGGACTCCTCCCAATCCTTTTCACCTTCCCCCATCCGAGATTAGGTGCTATAGGTATGTTAATTAGCCTGGAGAAACCGAGTTGCTGCCCTGGGATTCGAACCTGAAAAGTATGGTATAATTTGCTTGAATTTCTGGAAAATTAAGGATGTTAGATTATCAAGACAATTTGTGATGTATGTTCTAGAATTTGATTCCTGTAAATCATTGTGTCCTGTGTTGAACGATTAATCACATTTCACTTCTGTACCCCGTCTTAATAAACCCCGGCTTCCTTTGTGTAAAGCTCCTCCCGAAATAAAACGGGGGCACAGACCAAATCCCGCGTGCGTTACAACTGGCATGCGAGGCGTTACCGCTGGCAAGGCATGCGTTAAGGTTTGCAGGGCGGTGCTTTACTGCCTGCAGGGGCCATGATGCCCGTTGTCCAGGGTCTGCCCGCCAGTGTCGCATCCACTCTGGTCTCGGGGTGTCTTCTTGTCTCTCTCTTTGCGTCTTTGTGTGTATTCTTTCTCTATCTCTGTCGCTGCCAGATCTTCCTCCTTCGTGAACCGAACCCCCTTGTAGAGGCCGGCCCTCGACAGAAACCCTGTATAGGGTTTCCAAGGAGCACGTGGTGGGTTTGAACTGCCAATCTTTTGGTGAGCTGTCCAGTATTTATCCTATACCACCACACCAGGACCTCTAAGGATGCATAGAGGTATATTATACCACTCTTTCTACTTTTCTGGAAATTTCTCATATATTAAAAAATCTTCACAAACCTGACCACATCACTCCTTGATTTGAAACTCTCCTCATTGCCTAGAGCAAGGGCAGGGAAATTTTTTCTGCCAAAATTTATAACATCATTCATGGGCCATACAAAATCATTAACATAAAAATTAGCCTGCTATATTTGGTCAAATATTTCATTAACTCACCACTAATGGTGCTCCTTGGAAACCCTACACAGGGCCTCTATGGGTCGGAACTGACTTCACGGAACTTAACAACAACAATGTGATGGCTGTGATGGTGCTGTGAGTGAATGCGCTGGACTGCAAAATCAGTTTGAACCACAAGCTATCAGCTGCTCCTGAGAAATACAGTCAGTTGCTGTGAGTCACAACTGACTCCATGGCAGTTAACAACAACAAAGTGATGGCTGAACTGCAGTTGCCTTGGCAGGACCAGACCAAATGATTTCACAGGCCAGACGTTCCCCACCCCTGGCCTACAGGATCCAGTTCAAACATGTACATATGTCATACCACCTATAGGACTCAGTCCAGTCCCCTTTCCAGTCTTGCCTGCCCTTCACCTCTGACTTAACCGACAGAGGAAGCTCTTATTCATCCTTCAAGACCTTCCAAATGTCCCCTTCCCTCCCTGATCTGTCAGGACAAGTCATTGGCCCACCCTTTACATGCCTGCCCATGCATTTATCTTGCTATTTTGTGTTGTCGTCAGCTGCTGTTGACTTGTCCCAAACTCATGGTGACCTCATGCATAACAGAACCAACTGCCACCTGGTCCTGCGCCCTCCCCAGGGTCGATTACAGGTCAAACCATGGTGGTCCGTAGGATTTTCAATGGCTAATTTTCAGAAGTAGATTGCCAGACTTTTCTTCCTAGTCCATCTTAAGCTGGGAGCTATGCTGAAACCTGTTCAGCATCATAGCAACATGCCAGGTTCCACTGACAGACACTGTAGTAGACATGCATGAATTATATTGACTGGGAATTCAACCTTGGCTTTCTGAATTTCTGTTTCTACCACTGAGCCACCATGCCTCCATTGCTATTTTATAGTTGCCAGTTTTCATTTGTTCCCCCCTTCACCCTCCACCTTCCACCCTACCTCCCTGCTACTGCCACCCTGGACTCAGCTCCCTGCAGGCATGATCTCTGTCTCTCTTGCTTCCACTTCCCAAGCAACTAGTCGGACTTCACTGGAAATCCATGGAATGAAAGCATAACCCTACTTCGTCCTTCCTCTTTCTCCCCTGAAGATGAGTAGAACTTATGCTCCAGTTTCCAGGCTGGGCCCTTTCTGTGCTTTTCTGTGGGTGGGACATATGAAAATAATTTCTGGAAATGGATCTATGAGACTCAGGGTAAAAGTTCAAGGAATATCTGATTTTCTAGGCAACAAAAAAACACCAGCACAAATTCTCAAATATTAGCTTAGATGATGTTTAAAATTGCTCAGCATCATTCTCCTTACTTACATGCAAGTAAAAACTTATTCAAGGAATAGAGTAAATTGCATCAATTACTGAGAGCTGGATTCTAGAAGTGGTCTTATATACTACCAATTAGGGAAGGACACCTCTGACCTTAACCCTGAGAACAATAGGGAGAAAGCATGACCAGCTCCAAGAAGTGTTCCAAGTCCCAAGTCACCTCCTGCCTCTGGTCTTTGCTAGACCCAGCCAAAGGGCCTGGCTGGAGAAGTACAGGCTTGAAGAGGATGTAGGACAGGCCCCAGGTGCTAAGGTTGTTAATTGCCATCAAGTCAGTTCCAACTCATAGCAACCCTGTATAGGGTTTTCGAGGAGTGGCTGGTGAGTTTGAACTGCTCACCTTGCAGTTCAAACCAACTTTGTAGTCTAGTGCATTGTCCTGCTGCGCCACACCAATGAGGCTGTTGTTGTTGTTACGTGCCATCGAGTGGGTAACTACTCACACCAACCCTATGCACAACAGAAAAAAACACTGCCCAGTCCTGGGCCAATCTCACAACTTTTGCCACACTTGAGACCATTGATGCTGCCACTTTTCCAATCCATCTAACTGGGGGTCTTCCTCTGACCCTCCACCTTACCAAACATGATATCCTTCTCCAGCGACTGGTCCCTCCTGACAATATGTCCGAAGTATGAGAGACGAAGTTTGGTCAGGTAGAAATGGGTAAATGCCACATTAAGGCTCTGGATCGCAGGGGCCACAGGGTTGGTTGCCATGTCCCTGTTACTCCTCAATGCATGCCAGCCTGAATACACTACCACAGTTCCCCACATATAATAGCATATCCATACATAACGCTCACACATATAATGTGTAGAGACTATATAAGAAAAAACAAAGTTCTGTCAGATCACACATGTCTTGTGATGTTTCCAGAAGTGAATTTTGGCTTTATTCACCCTCATTCAATTGTCTGACAATGCTACTTTTAATCATCTTTATATAATAAAGGTATAAGCCATGGTCAAGAAGCCATGGATCAAGTTTGGGAGTAATCCAGTAATTGGAAAATCAACTATTGAAACTGTATGTGTTTCTACTCATTTAAGTTGATAGTTACAGCCCTGTCACTTCTGAGTCATCATTTGGAAACTTGAACCGACTGGAGCCTGTCCATAAATCACATGCTATCAATTGGAATCCTGGTATAGTGCTGTAGGATAAGCACTAGACTGCTAACCTAAAAGCTGGTGGTTCAACCCCACTAGTTGCTCTTTGGAAACCCTATACAGGATTGCTATGAATCAGAATGACAACAACAATTAGAAGAGTAAACAAAGTGAAGCCCACACCGGTATAAATGGCATTGAGTAGCTATCAACAGGAAATCAATTCAGCCTGTGCTGACAGAACTATGTCAGCCATCTTCCGACTCTAACTTTTAATTGGAAGAATAAATGAAGCACAAGTACTACATGATCACTCTAGGCTCAATGTGAAAACCTTATCAGATTAGCTTAATTCAAAGCACTAAACTATGTTGTTGTTGTTGTTGTTAAGGACTGTCAAGTCGGTTCTGACTCATAGCAACCCTGTATAGTGTTTCTGAGCAGCAGCTGGTGAGTTTGAACTATTGACCTTGTGGTTCAAACTGACCTTGCTGTCCAGTGCTTATCCTACAGCACCACAACAGATCTGTTTATTTCATAGAATGTTATTATTGTTGTTGTTGTTAGGTGCCATCGAGTCAGTGCCGACTCATAGCGACCTTATGCACAGCAGAATGAAACACTGCCCGATCCTGGGCCAACCTCACTACTGTTGCCCTGCTTGAGTCCATCGATGCTGCCACTTCGCCAATCCATGCATTGGGGGTCTTCCTCTTTTTCTCTGACCCTCTACCTTACCAAACATGATATACTTCTCCAGCGACTGGTCCCTCTTGACAATATGTCCGAAGCATGAGAGATGAAGTTTGGCCATCTTGGACTCCAAGGAGCACTCTGGCTGCACTTCTTCCAACACAGATCTGTTGGTTCTATGGGCAGCCCATGGCACTTTCAATATTCTCTTTCAACACCATATGCGTCAATTCTTTTATGGTCTTCCTTATTCACTGTCCAGCTTTCACATCCATATGAGGTTATTGAAAATACCATGGTTTGGGTCAGGTGCACCTTAATTATAGTTAAGTGCCAATAAGTCAAGATGATCCTGTATAGAGTTTCTGAGAAGCAGTTGGTGAGTTTGACCCACCGAGCTTGTGATTCATATTGAGCTTGTGTTCCAGTACTTACCCTATAGCACCACACCAGGACTCTATTTCATAGAATAATTAAGTATTACTAATGTCAGTATCTCTGATCAATGATCATGAGTCACCTTTATCATATACTTGCAGGCATACATGAGTAAAAAGACTCTTGTGGCTTATACATGTTATCGATTACGTTGTGCTTTTTCTTTTTTTTTTTTTT